CCCCCCGACCTCCCCCGGCCAGCCCCGCTGCCCCCCATCTTCTCCCCACTCCCGGCCAGCCCTGCTCCCCTCCTTGCCGGTCCTCCTCTCCCCCAACTGAGATCAGGTGTGTCTGGTATTTTCTTTGAAGCCACCTGGTAACCCTACCCCACCAGCAATCCAGCAGACTGGGACCCGTCGGTAGGACAGTTGGAGGGGTTCGCTGGAGCCCGGCAGTGAGCAGTCATTGGATAACCATCTTCTCCCCACTCCCGGCCAGCCCTGCTCCCCTCCTTGCCGGTCCTCCTCTCCCCCAACTGAGATCAGGTGTGTCTGGTATTTTCTTTGAAGCCACCTGGTAACCCTACCCCACCAGCAATCCAGCAGACTGGGACCCGTCGGTAGGACAGTTGGAGGGGTTCGCTGGAGCCCGGCAGTGAGCAGTCATTGGATAACCTGCCCCCCTCACCCTGGTGACGGTTTTTTTCCTGACCCCAGCCTGTCCGAGGCCAGCTCGTGCTCTGAATCAGGACTTAGAGCCCCAGTTGAACTCTTGGCATCTTGACCTTCCAGCCTCTCTGGAGAGATTCTCTCGTCTCTGTGCATGTCTCCGTCTGTCTGGAGTCCAGCTCAGCTCTGGGCCCCAGGCAGCGGTGAGTCCCACAGATGGCTACAGCTGTGCAGGAGAACAGGCCACCCTTATTTGTTTTGTTTTGTTTTGAATTTCCCACGACCCCTGTTTCGGTGACTAGCCTGTGGTTTGGGTGTTGGGAGGCAGGGAAAGTGGATTGGCCGCCTGATGTCTCTTCTCTGGCCCAGCCATTCTTGGTTGAGCTTCCAAAGGCCTCAGGCTCAGTATACGGGAGCCAGGTATGGGGAAGAGGGGCACACAGAGCCCCTGGTAGGAGAAAGGGGGCACATGGGCCCTCTGGTATGCAGGAAGGGGAGCACACACACACCCCAATATGCAGGCAGGAGGGAATGGATGTGCATAGAGAGCTGCTGGCAGAAGAAAATGGGGCAACCCAGGTATGGGAGCAGAGGGAAATAAAAGTCAGGGGGAGACTGGGGCAGGGGGTTGCACAGATACTGAAGGAGAGAGGAGGGCGGCTCACAGGGAGTTTGCAGAGGCGGGGGGATGGAAGGACGCATGAAGCTATGATGTGTGCACCCCCACACCTCCCCCAAAGTTTGGTCCTGTCCCCTCTTTTCATGTGGTCTATTACTAACAGTTCCATTGAGTCGAAGACCACGAGGAACCATTGGCTCATAACAGGCCAGAGAATTTCACCCCCGGGACGCCTGCATGCAGCCGAATCGGGTGCATTTGACTAGAGCCAAGCTGCCGGAGAGGCACCCAGACGTCTCACAGCCTGGAGCACCCCCTACTTCCCCGGGGGAGGTTAATCCCCCTCACTGTTAAAAAACCAGGCCACCATTTAATTCCAATCTGCATGGCTTGAGATTCTAGCCACTGGGTCTTGTGAGGCCTTGCTCTGACATGAATACCGCTGTGTGTTCTCACTGTTCCTTCATAGCCCACTGCCCATCTGTGCTCTCTTGTGTAACTGACTGTCAGGCAGGGACCGCGGGTTTGTACAGCGCCTAGCGCAATGTCGGGCTGCTCCAGGCCGGCTCTGTGCCCAGACAAATGATTATGACTGGATAATGATGACGAGGTCTTCAGAGGAAATACCCTCTGAGAAGGGGCTCGCTATCCCCAAAGGTTTGACCCAGTGAGTGAAAACAACCGTGTCCCCAAGCCCCGATTCATGCTGCATGGTGGATAACTCCTTCTGATTTTTTTGCCTCAGTTTCCCCACGTGTGACCTAGGTGGGGATAATAATCCAGCCCTCCCTGGCAGAGCGCCTTTGAGACTGACGCAGGGAAAGCACTCTAGGGGTACATCTACACAGCAGCGTTATTTTGAAGTAACTGACATTATTCCGAAATAACGTCGTGCACATCTCCATTATAAGCCTTTATTTCGAAATAATGTCGATCCGGAGAACTTCTTCATCTGATGCCTGCAACCCTCATGTCACGAGGAGGAAGGGAAGTCAGGGGAAGAGGGTTCTTCCTTCCACTTCCTGCTGGGTCGACAGCGCCGAAAGCTGAAAGAAGCTATTTCGACTTCAGCTGCGCAATTGACGTAGCGGAAATTGCGTCGCTTCATTCGACTTTTACCCAGCTGTGTCTGCGTACCCTGGGAGAGCCGGGTATTATGGGGCTGGGCACACAACAGTATGGAAGTTGAATGGGATGAACAAAAACACCCAACTCAATCTCTTGAGCATCCGCCTTGCTGAAGCAGTATCCTGCACCTCCGGTGCAAACCAACCCGCTGTCCATAGCCCCGGCTGCATAGCAGAGTCGTACTAAAACAGGCTGTTGCGGTGGGCACTACAGCCTACCACAACATGGCAGAAGGGAGGGGCAGGGTTGTGCCGTCTTTTAACACTGCCCAATAATCGGCTCCTGAAGCAAGCGCTGCTGTGGGGATCCCTGGGCGAGAATCAGGAGGGCTGGCCTAGCCAATAAGGAGTTGACAGGAAATTGGCTGACTGTCACAGGGTGGCATTCACCTCACACGAGCGCCCCCATCAGGCTGAGGGCGGCGCCTGCACTCCGTCTCTCGGTTGTCGCCAAAGGCCTCTTAGTCAACTCAGATCTCCGGCCGAGTCACTCCCTGTGTATCGCAAACCTCTTGGGGGTACACGCCTAGTGTCCCTTTTCTCTCAGGTCGTTTCCTCACCCAGGAGCGAGTGGTGCCACCAGGGTCTCTCCTCCTAGTTTCTTGCCCCTCGCTCAGGGCTTTATCTCAGTTCATAATAATCTCACGCTAGCTCCCCATACAGAGCTCTCCATGGTGCTGCTGCTCCCTCAGTCAATCAGCCGCTCAATCTTCCCCTCTTCAGGGCTCCAGAGACACTGAGCTGACTCTGGTCCTGCAGCTCCTTTTATAAAGCCTTTCGGGTCCCTGATTGGCCGGTTCCTCTACAGCCACTCTAGCCTCCCAGAGGACTTGTCTATGGCCTTTTTTCTGGGTCGTGGCAAGACCACAGGGCCTCTGCTAGGGAGCCTCAAAGCCTGGCTCACCCTGTCACACTTATCTGTCACCTTTCCCCCCTGAAGAAGTGAACAGAACTAAGCTGTGTGACTGGCTTCCTAATGGAATCAACTGGTTTATTTCCCAAACCAAGCATCAGCCACTAATCAGCAATCGGCCTTAGCATCCCCTTTCCATGGATTGCTTCTGTATCGTAATCCTGGAGCAACTAACGCCATCTTGGCATCGTGGCATTCGCCCTGTTTGTTTGAAGTGTCCAGGAGAAAGGGGAGTGGTCAGCATCCACGGTGAAATGTTGTCTGGAAAGGTAGTGCTGCCATAGGCTGAGAGCCTCCGCAGCCAAACCTTCATTTCCCCTCTCTCTTTTTGCTACTCCTTTCCCCCACAGGGCATAAGACTTTTCTATACTTTCATGGCTGAGCCCAGGTAGGAGCGGGGCTATGTAGCAGTAGATATCTGTCATGGATGTGTATCTGGCCTTCATCACCATTGTATGTAAGCATCTCCTGACCCCTCTGACGAGGTGGGGAAGTCGTTTATCACAGAGGGGGAACTCTGGCACAAGGAAGGGAAGTGACCTACTCCAAACCACACTAGGAGACTGATGGATTCCTGGCCCTCAAAATTCTAGGCCAAAGCCGTAACTA